AAAAAAAAAAAAAATTTTCTTAAAGAACTCCTATACAGAAGAGACTAGGTATTGTTTCCTGTTAATGCTCTAAGTATATCAAAAGGAGAAAATTCTTTTTTTATTATTTTATTTTATTTTTTTGAGACAGAGTTTCACCCTGTGCTCTGGGTAGAATGCTATGGCATCATAGCTCACAGCAATCTCAAACTCTTGGGCTTGAGCAATCCTCTCGCCTCAGCGTCCCAAGTTGCTTAGGAGTATAGGTACCTGCAACAATGCCCAACTTGTTTTTCTGTTTTTAGTACAGACAGGGTCTTGCTTTTGCTCAAGCTGGATGAGGAAATACATAATATGAAAAAACCAGGCAAAACTGGAAAGTTTTTAAGTCTCTGAGCAATTCCAAAAGTAAACAATTTTACCTATAAAAATTAACTCAAACCCCAACAGTTCTCATTACTGATGATAAAATTACCTCAAACTCCAACAGTTCATTACTAATGCTCTAAATGTACCATGATATTTTAATTACAGAATAAAATAAGGTCTCTTCCAACTGACAATTTATGTTTGTATGTTTACCAGGCTCCATCAATAATTAATTATATTGCTCTTATTTTTTCTGTGTCTGCTTTCGTATTGTAAAGTTAGGGAGACCTAAAGAAAAAAAATTTTTTTTTGAGTCAAGAGTCTCAAACTGTCACCCTGAATAGAGTGTCGTGGTGTCATAGCTCACAGCAACCTCCAACTCTTGGGCTCAAGTGATCCTCTTGCCTCAGTTTTTCTATTTTAAGACAGGGTCTCGCTTTTTTGCTCAGGCTGGTCTCAAGCTCATGAGCTCAAGCAATCCATCAGGCTTGGCCTCCTAGAGTGCTAGGATTATAAGCATGAGCCACCGCACCCAGCCTAAAGAAAATTATATCCAAAGACTCCTTACCACAAAGATTTTATAATAATTTTAAAAGGAATTTCATAAGTTTGGTAAAAATTTAATAAACCACAAAAGTAATTAAGATCTGCCACCTTAGTTTTATTTGTTCTTCAGCTGCCACAAAGAAATAGAATAGTAGTTTATATTCAATAGTTTTGGGGGTTTTTTGGGTTTTTTTTTTAGTTTTGAGATAGGAAGATCTCACTGTTGTCTAAGAGAGAATGCTGTGGTATCATCATAACCACTGCAACCTCAAATTCCCAGGCTCAAGTGATCCTCCCAGCTCAGTCTCCAGAATAGCGGGGCCTACAGGTCCATACCACATGCCTGGTTAGTTTTCTTTTTTTTCTTTTTAATGTCATTGTGGAGATAGGTCTTTCAGGCTGGTCTTTAAGTCCTGTTCTGAAGCAGTTCTCCCACCTTGGCCACCCAAAGTCCTAAGATTATATGTGTAAGCCACCCTGCCTGGCCTATATTCACTAGTTTTATTTATTTATTTTTTTTTCCGAGACAGGGCCTCAAGCTGTCCCCCTGGGTAGAGTGCTGTGTCATCTCAGCTCACAGCAACCTCCAACTCCTGGGCTCAAGCGATTCTCCTGCC